CGGAGAATAGGGCGAAGTGCAGCCGCTACCTCCTTGAGAACTTTCCAAGTAGTCGAAGCGCTACGCCCCTCAGTCTCACTCCGAAGATTTGTGCCGTACCTGGCCACAATGGTACGTCCGAGAAGCAACTCCCGGTCATGAATCACATTCCAGGCCAATCTAACCAGGAGGGGGCCTTGCCAAATGCCAGAGGCATGGAAGCCCAGCCCACCCACCGAAATTGGTTGGCAAAGTTCCGGCCAAGACACATAGTGCAAGCCCCGTTTGCCCGCATCCTTCTGCCACATGAATTGTCTTGCCATTCGCTCGATAGCATTGAGAGTTCCCGTAGGAATATTTGTATGCGTGATAAGATACATCGGGATAGTTAAAAGGGAAGACCGGATCAAAGTAGCTCGACCCGCCAGAGAGAGATGTCTTCGGCCCCAGACGTTAATCTTATCCGAGACCGACCTCACAACCTTAAGAAAATCAGACTTCATCATTTTTCGCATAGTCAACTGCAGCCCAAGATATTCCAAAGATTGAACCCGGCGGAAAGCAATATCCCTAGAAATCCTTCGCTACTTCCAAAGTTGGCACTTTTTACTAAAAAGAATAGCGGATTTGGCACAATTTATCCGCTGCCCCGTCCAGGCACAATAGTCCTCAAAGATCGCCATGGTCCTCCGAGCATTGGTGCCACTAGCCATGGCAAAAACGAGCACATCGTCGGCGTAAAGAAGGTGAGACACCAGCGGGGCGTTCCGGGCCACCTGAACCCCAAGAGTCTGACCGTGCTGAGCAAACACCTTGGTCAGAAGCTCAGAGCATAAGATAAAGAGATATGGCGAAATCGGACATCCTTGGCGGAAGCCACTAGCCCCATGAATCCATTCGGTCATGCACCCATTAATCAGCAATTGAAATTTAGGAGAAGAAATACACTGGGTTACCCATTTAGTGAAGGCCGCCGGGAAGCCCATCAAATCCATAACATGCTCCAACGTGTCCCAGGCCATACAATCGTAGGCCTGCTCCATATCAACCTTCAAAGCCATCATCCCCTCCGCCTTGGTGGAGTGCTGGAAGTTGCTTATGATCTCTTGCGCCAACAGGCCGTGGTTGGATATAGATCTCCCGGGGACGAACGCCCCTTGCTCTTCCCCAATGATACTGGCAAGCACCGGCTTCATCCGCTGAACAAGCACCTTTGCGACCACCTTATAAAAGGTTTGACAAAGGCTGATTGGCCGAAATTTAGTCGGGTTATCCGCATTCAAAACCTTAGGGATAAGGATGATGAGAGTCTCTTTCCACTGCCCGTCCATCAAGTTGGAAGAAAAGAACTCCTGCACCGCCAAAAGGACTTCCGTTTTGATAATCTCCCAGTAAAACTTGAGGAAGGAAGCCGTAATGCCGTCACGCCCAGGGGCACGGTTGGATCCCATGGAGTGCACCGCATGCCACACCTCCTCATCCGTAACCACAGCAGTGAGGGACGGACTGAAGTGAGCAGGGATTTTTACAACATTACCAAAAACAGGCCACCCCGTGAGACAGGCCTGCCGATCTTTCCATTTATCCCGAAAGAAAGTCGTAAAGGTATCCAGGATTGTCTGCTGATCAGACACCGGTTGCTCGCAGTTCGGTAAAGTAAGCACCACTCTATTGTCCCGCCGCCGGCCAGAAGAGGCCAAGTGGAAAAAGTGGGAGTTAGCATCTCCCTGCTCGATCCACCGGACTTTGGCACGCTGCCTCCACCAAATGGTTAATCTCACCAACGTATCATTCAATTCACCAACGAACCTCCGCAACTCATCCTCATGATCCTGGCTAAGCCCTTCGAGCGTCCAATCCAGATTTTGTAACTCAATGATCCGTCGCTCCATCTCCATTTTATGCCGATTCAAATTGAGCGAGCGTTGACGACTCCAATGATACAGAGCCCTCAACGTTCGGTGACATTTGCGATTGAGGATACTCGCCGGGGTACCCACATCCACCTTACGCCAATTCAGCCAAACAATACGCCAAGATGCCGGATAGGTCGTCCAGACGTCCTCAAACCGAATCCATCTCTCCGGGGCTGCGGTTGCCATGGATCCCAAGGTAAAAAGCAATGGGGCAATGACCGAGGAAACACGTCCCATGTAATGCACCATTGCAAGCGGGGCCCTACAAAGTCCATCCGAATTCATGAGTATCTGGTCTAGGCGCACCCAAATCTGACTATTGCCATCCTTATTGTTGCACCAGGTAAACTGGGGTCCCACAAAGCCCAAGTCGTGAAGGTCATTACTGTTCATAAATTCGGTCATCTCAATAACCCCAGCAGTCGGGGTCACCCGCTTCCCCCCTTTCTTCTCCGATTGAGCGAGGCAGCAGTTGAAGTCACCCCCCACAAGGATCGGCTCCGTAGTAGCACAGTGGGCATCGATATTGTGCCAGATACTTCGGCGGCGAAGGTAATCCTTGTTACCATAGATGACCACAACTGTCAAGCTCAGCCCACCGGGAGGCGTAAGGGAGCCAATGACAACTTGATCATCCGCAAACCGTAGCGCAAAATTGATCAAATCCTTCCGCCACAGCACAAGGATACCCCCAGATTTGCCAATCGCGGGGTAATGGAAGAAGTCCCAATTGGTACCAATAATTCGTTCGACCTCCGCACGATCCAGAGTCTCCACTTTGGTCTCCACAAGACCAATGAAGTGCACCTCATTGTCACCTACAAGGTGACGCAGGTAGTTGCCCGTGCACTTCTTACAAGCCCCCCTGCAATTCTAGAAGATGGTTGTAGACATTAATCCACCATAGGGGAAGCGTCCCCGCCGCTAGCAACCACACTTCCATCCTTACGCCTCTTCCTAGGGGCCTCCTCAATTGGCCCCAGAGATTGCAATTCTTTATCAAAGTGAGCTTTAGAGGCTCCCAATTTGGGTCTCTCCGATCTCGAAGATGTCGGTCTCGAGTCCGCCATCCGTGCCCCAGCCGAAAACAACAGGGGATGAGTGACCCCCGGCTTTTTGTCCCCACGACTCGGCCGGAAGTTCTCTTTCAACTGGCGTCCCACTGGTTCCTTGATCTTGGACAGCTCCACCTGTCTCGGGATGTTTTCCCCAAGTAGATATCTCTCCACAGTTTGAACTTTCTTCTGTGTTTTCCGGCCCATATGCGGGGGCACCACATTCCATGGCCCATAGAGTCTCTCATCCTCAGCAGAATCAGAATTTGGGGTAGGCAGAGCAGTCGGTGTTGACGGGGAGACCAGGCTCGATTGTCCTGCACCATTGCTGGATGACGTTCCAGCAAAAACTTCCGTGTCCGAGCGGCCAGAACCTGGGCTCGGCGTCACAGTACCCACTGTAGAAGCATCCCCCACCGCTTGGGGTTGAATGCTATTCGCAGACGATGGCTTCGCCACCATTTTCCCTTTCCCGGCCACCGGTTGATTGGCATTAGTTCCTGGTTTGTCATCCGGTACCCTAGATGGGCATTGCTCTCTTCTATGGCCAACACGCCCACACTCAAAGCAGGATTTGACACAAACACGAGCATACTCTCGTCGCCCCACATTGCCCATTTGGGCGTCAATCCAAAGTGGTTCCCCTAACATGGAAGCAATACGGACAAGCATTTCGTGGTCCCAATATTGAAGGGGCAATTGAGGTAACCGGATCCAAACCGGTGAGGAGAGACCCTCTAAGGAGCTAGGGGAGAACTCCGACGTCCACCGATCAAGTCCAACAATGTTGCCACTAAAGAACCACGGTCCGCCACTAAGGACGACATCCCTAGCCTCGGTCGACGCGAAAGTACATGCAAAACAATCAGCCCTAATAGTAGATAGTTGGAACTCACCTAAGCGGCTCCACAGCCGTCGCACCTCGCCCTCGAGCACAAAGAACGGCAGCCTCCTTCCCAAAATCTTGCCCACAACCGCATTTTCCAACAGGTGGATGCTCCTCTCAATCACATCCAGATTGAGATCCACCGTGACCCCATCAGTCGAGAATTGGCCTCTTTTGACTCTCTCCGAGACTTTAATATGCTCGAGCCGTTTCCAAGCATTCGAAGTATTGGTTTGCTGCTGGGTAGTGGCCATTTTCCCAAAGATCCCAGCCTCCAAAACTGGGGCGGCATTGACTCGAACACCTTGTGTGCAATTATCCGCAGCAGCCACGCCGCCGCCAATGACACCAGGGGCGGTCACACCTAGCTGCTGCAAACCGGCCGTCTCCCCAATTGAGGTAGTTTCCGTGGAGTCCATATCCACATCCCCGCCGCTAGCTTCATCGGCACAAGCTTGGTGTGCTACCAGCATGCAACTTTTTGAGGAACCTAGTAAGTTTCAGCAATTGTTGGTCTTCAACAAGGAATTCCTAGTAAGCGCGAGTCATCAGCTCGCGTTGACTACGTCCCTGCCCTTTGTACACACCGCCCGTCGCTCCTACCGATTGAATGGTCCGGTGAAGTGTTCAAATCACTGTGATGCGGGCGGTTCGCTGCCCGTGACTCTGTGAGAAGTCCATTTAACCTTATCATTTAGAGGAAGGAGAAGTCGTAACAAGGTTTCCGTAGGTGAACCTGCGGAAGGATCATTGTCGAGACCGAAACACAACGAGCAATTTTGTGAACCCGTTAAAAAAAGCGGCGGCTCTTGCTGCTGAGATAAAATCCACTGGAGTCATCGCCTCATCCCCTCTATGGGGTGTGGACGTGATGAAGGATGGATGAACCCTAAAATCGGCGCAGCGTAGCGCCAAGGGAATCTTGAAACACAAGCCCATAATGGGTTTTGTGGGATGGGGTGTTGTCGCACGCCATATCGATTGACACGACTCTCGGCAATGGATATCTCGGCTCTCGCATCGATGAAGAGCGCAGCGAAATGCGATATGTGGTGCGAATTGCAGAATCCCGCGAACCATCGAGTCTTTGAACGCAAGTTGCGCCCAAGGCCAACCGGCTAAGGGCACGTCCGCCTGGGCGTCAAGCATTTTATCTCTCCGTGCCTAATCTCCCATCCATGGATGTGTTACTAAGGCTCGGATGTGCATGGTGGCTCCTCGTGCCCCTTGATGCGGCGGGCTGAAGGGCGGGTCATCTTCTCGTTGGCTGCCAACAATAAGGGGTGGATTAAAAAAGGCCTTTGCTATTGTGATAAGTGCGCCCGAGAGATGATCATACTTTTTAGGTGATCCCAATTCATGTGCTAATCCATGGATGGCGTATCGAATGCGACCCCAGGATGGGCGAGGCCACCTGCTGAGTTTAAGCATATCAATAAGCGGAGGAAAAGAAACTTGCGAGGATTCCCCTAGTAACGGCGAGCGAACCGGGATAGGCCCAGCATTGGAATCGGGTTGCCATGTAGCAGCTCGAATTATAGTCTGGAGAAGCGTCCTCAGCGACGGACCGGGCCCAAGTACCCTGGAAAGGGGCGTCGGGGAGGGTGAGAGCCCCGTTGGGCCCGAACCCTGTCGCAACACGAGGCGTTGTCGGCGAGTCAGGTTGTTTGGGAATGCAGCCCTAATCGGGCGATAAATTCCGTCCAAGGATAAATATAGGCGAGAGACCGATAGCGAACAAGTACTGCGAGGGAAAGAT